GGAGCTTCTGAAAGCGGGTGGAACACCGGTACTTGAAGTCCTTCAGAAGCTCTTCAATTCCGTCCTCCATGGTGGCACTACTCCAGAGGCGTGGAGCAGAAGTGCGGTGGTCTTGTTCTTTAAGAAAGGCGACAACGCTCTCTTAAAGAACTACAGACCGATTTCCCTTCTGAGCCGCGTCTACGTGCTGTTTTCGAGAGTCATTACGAATCGTCTCGCACGCAGACTTGACGACTTCCAGCCTCCCGAACAAGCCGGTTTCCGAAAAGGCTTCAGTACCATAGACCACATACATACCCTGCGGCAGATTGTACAGAAGACTGAAGAGTACAATCTGCCACTTTGCCTGGCGTATGTGGACTATGAGAAAGCCTTTGATTCCGTCGAAATTTGGGCGGTGCTACAGTCCCTTCAGCGGTGCCAAGTTGACTGTCGGTATATCGAAGTGCTGAAGTGTTTGTACAGTAGGGCTACGATGGCTATCCGAGTACAGAACCAGAGCTCGAAACCTATCCAACTGCAGAGAGGTGTAAGACAGGGTGACGTTATATCCCCGAAACTCTTCACCGCTGCATTGGAAGACGTTTTCAAGCTACTGGACTGGAAAGGATACGGTATTGACATCAATGGCGAGTACATCACTCACCTTCGATTTGCCGACGATATAGTCCTTATGGCAGAATCGCTGGAGGACTTAAGCACTATGCTCAATGACCTCAATAGTGCCTCCCAACGGATAGGTCTTAAGATGAACATGGACAAAACAAAGATCATGTTCAATGTCCATGTCACACCTATGCCGGTAGTTGTTGGGAGCACTATGCTCGAAGTTGTTGACGAATACGTTTACCTGGGACAAATAGTCCGACTAGGTAAGTCCAACTTCGACCGAGAGGTCAATCGACGGATTCAACTCGGCTGGGCAGCGTTCGGGAAATTACGGCATATCTTTTCGTCAGGTATACCTCAATCTCTAAAAACTAGATTGTACAACCAGTGCGTGTTGCCAGTGATGACTTACGGATCTGAGACGTGGTCCTTCACTGCTGGCCGTATGAGGACGCTTAAGGTCGCTCAGCGAGCTATGGAGAGGGCTATGCTCGGAGTTTCTCTGCGTGATAGACTCAGAAATGAGGATATCCGCAGTAAAACCAGAGTGACCGACATAGCCCAACGGATTAGTAAGCTGAAGTGGCAATGGGCCGGCCATATAGCTCGAAGAACCGATAACCGATGGGGAAGAAAGGTTCTCGAGTGGCAGCCTCGTACCGGTAGGCGTAGTGTAGGGCGACCCCCACTAGATGGAGTGACGACCTGGTAAGACATGCAGGAAGTCGATGGATGCAGGTGGCTCAGGACCGTGCTTTGTGGCATTACTTGGGGGAGGCCTATGTTCAGCAGTGGACTTGTGAAGGGCTGTAATGATGATGATGATGATGATGATTCAATACCTAGGTGGATTGAAAAGTACTCGGCCTAACACAGATCCATTCAATTCTAAAAATCAAATCTACCCACATTATTTAGTTCAGTTCAGACTAGTTCATTGTGTGAAGTTCGAAACGTGTGCGATAATTAGTTGTGATTTTATAAATTTATTAACAAAGTAATCGGACATAATTTCCGCGAATGGAGCAAATCGAGCAGCGTGCCGTCATTAAGTACCTCCATAAGAAGGGGCTATCATCAAAAGCCATCCATGATGACATGGTCAGTACATTAGGCAATTGTGCTCTGTCATATTCATTCGTCAAAAAATGGATAGCAGAATTTAAGCGTGGTAGAGAGAGTGTGAAAGATGAACCCCGCTCTGGAAGGCCTTCGACGTCAACTACTGACGAAAATATTAAAAAAGTACTTGATTTAATAATGGGAGACCGCAGATTAAAAATTAGAGAGATAGCCGAGATTATAGGCATCTCTTATGAACGAACTCAAAACATCATTGTCAACGAGTTGGGTTTCCACAAGGTGTCTGCGAGGTGGGTTCCGCGACTGCTTTCAGTTGAACAAAAAGGGACGCGATTGACTATTTCACGCGACTGTTTGGAGTTATTTGAAGCCGATGCAGATGATTTTTTGAATCGTTTTGTTACTATGGACGAAACATGGGTTCATTACTGTACACCGGAAACAAAACAATAATCAAAACAGTGGAGAAGACCTGGTTCACCACCCCTTAAAAAGGCTAAGTCGATTTTGTCGGCAAATAAGGTGATGGCTTCAGTATTCTGGGACTCGAAAGGTGTGATTATGATTGATTATCTTGAAAGGGGTCAGACTATATACTCTGATTACTACTGCACCTTACTACGTCGTTTACGAGAGGAAATAAAAGAAAAACGTCGAGGAATGCTCAGAAGAAAAGTCCTGTTTCATCAAGATAACGCCCGTGTTCACACGTCAGTACAGTCAATGGCTGAAATTCACAACTGTGGCTTTGAACTGATACCGCATCCGCTGTATTCACCTGATCTGGCACCATCAGACTTCTTTCTGTTCTCTAACCTAAAAAAGCACTTGGGAGGTCAAAGATTTTCGACAAACGACGAGGTCAAAGCAGCTGTAGACGCATATTTTGACTCTAAGGAAGAATCATTTTTTTTTCAACGGTCTGAATGCTTGGAAGGGGAGGTGGCAAAAGTGTATTGAACTTGATGGTGATTATGTAGAAAAATAAAAATATAACTGATTTAGTATGTGTTTATTTTCTTGGTTAGGCCGAGTACTTTTCAATCCACCCTCGTAGAATCTACAAATTAGAGCTCCCAAATCATGTCTCTCAGAGTTTTGGCCTAAACATGCATCGGGAAAATGATCATTACTAAATAAATAAGTTATCTAAAATTTGCCTTGAGCTTATTGTAGTAGAGATAACGAACTATTTTTACCAAGTAATTGTTATTTCAAGCAATGAACGGAAAACATATAATTTCAACGAGGAAACCTTGTAATTTTGCGTTTTTTTGTAATACTCCTCTTAACGCAAAAAATAAGGGCAGTCTTCGGCAGTAGCGAAAATTTTATAACGATACGAAGCTTTCTTTTGAAGTATGTGATTAACATAGTAATAGTACTGTCCAATAATATTCATCAGCTAAAGGAATAATTGACGTATACCTAAACACTTGAAAACAAACAATTGTACAATCATTGCGTGTTGACATGTATGAGGAAGCTCAATATTGCTTTGGGAAGGGCTATAGTCCGAATTCCTCTGCGTGATAAACTTCGAATTGAGGATATCCCCAGTATAACTAGAGTAAATGACATAGCCGAACAATTCAGTAAGCTGAAGTCCCAAAGGGGCGGCCATATACCTCGACGAATCGACAACCAACATGGAAAGATTCTCTAATGGCAGCCTTATACCGGTAAGCGGAGTGAAGGGCAGCCCCCAACTAGATGAAGTAACGACGTGGTAAGAGATGCAGGTGGCTCATATCCGTGTTTGGGGAATTCCTCGGGGGAGTCCTATGTTCAGCAGTGAACTTGCCAAAGGCTGTAATGATGTTGAGAAGATTGATAATTATTTGACTATCCTGTGGCTTAGGAGTTTTTGGATCTTATAATTTGAAAGCATTTTCGGTCAAAGTCAACAGTTCCTGGATATTCCATTGATTAGAATAGTTCGAATCCATGGCAAAGTTATTTTAATATTTATATATACAAGATACAATAACGGAATGAAGCAAATTACAGTTAATTTAGTAAACAAAATATGTAATAATGAATATGGCTATAATTTTAATTACACACTTCAAATGAGAGTATCTAGCTCTTCTCCTACTCCGCCACTAATATTCTCCTCTAAATACTCTCTATCGTATACTTACTAATCTTATATAGATAGAAATGGATAATTTAAGTAATATTTATATTCTCAGCAGGAAACAGTGTAGCTAGCAAGGGGAGCGGAGGTTGTGATGTTTTAATTATAATCACTCATTTAGATGTGTCTACTAGCAAGCAAACTTATTTTTAGTTGTTATTAGGAAGAGCCTCTCCTAATAACTAAAAATAATCTAATCTTCTAATTTGTAACCCTTGTCGTCTCCTACGACACCCACTGGACAATATGGTGTAGTAGATATTCTTATTGTTTACACAACTTACACTGAAATTATATTTGTTTTGAAGGAGAGGAACATAATAACAATATATGATTTAAAACCTAAAGACTCTCCAAAATAAAAATTTTATAAAATTAATAAAAAACTCTTCTTAAAAACCTCTCAATACATTTGCTAAAATTGCATTGCACCTATACAAAAAAATAAGTAGTTTCAAAGGAATAAGTGATATTCATTCTGTAAATACTAGATACAGACAAACGCTAGTAGTACCAGTTACTCAACTCGACAGAATCAGTGATTCACTCCTTGAGCCCTATAAGCTGTTCGTTTTTTTTTTAAATTGTCCCAGTACGATTCTTACTGTTTCTTCCTAGGATATGGGTTTTTATTTTCATTTTGACAAAAGGTCACGAAGGACTGGAAAAACGTATTTATAATTTATATTGTATTGAAAAAAAAACTTTTGTTGCTGTAGCTTATAGCTTTACTATGTAAATGTCATATTAAAAATCAGTTATCAGAATTATATCACAGAATAAATAATAGTATAAGAAGTTATATGTTAAAAACGAGAATTATTGCTGCTTGAGAAAAGGGCGGGAATTACCGAAATTCAAAATTCCTGAAAAAACCCAATTTAAATTGTTGTCACCTGCTTACAATTCACTTCAAACCTTATGATAGACCAATAAGAAATACATCTGTGTTTCAACTCCTAATTGAGGATAGATGTAGATGTCTATGGGCCACAGCGCCCACTTACCACCAAATGGACTGTGTGCTTGATCACCCTTATTCTATAAAGAAAAATACATTTCATAATAGTAAAATCCCCACACGCAAAATACGCGCTTAGACGTGGAGTTGCGGAAAACAGCCCGTTGTAAACTAACTAACTAATAGTAAATAAAAATGTTTACTTACTCCTTCTGAGAGCATTTTGAGCATCATTTGTCATAGCATCTGCTTCATCTAATATAATTAACTTTGGTCCAGCCTTAAATATTGTTCTAGTTGAAGCAAAACTGAGAATTTGACCCCTCACAATTCCAATTCCTCTATCATCCGATGCATTTAATTCAAGCACCTAATGTTGGTACAAAGCCATCCATTAATCCACAATATTAACAATAAATTTATTACTAAAATAAACATTTCAGTTCTCATATCTATGGTATTCTTATTAATATAATATTCTTATTAAGACAATAATTAAAAATGATTTATCACAGTAAAAATATACTTTATTAGTAAATAAAACATCAATTACAACTGTTACCCAAAAGACATTTAAAAATGACACCTTTAAATAAAACTAGTGTTTACAATACTTTTACAATCAACATCCCAATATAGCTATCTCATGCTGTTACCTTCTGCTTGAGCCTATAATTAATATAATTAAATATCAACCCAAGCATACCACAGCAGAACTTATTTCTGCATAGATCAGACCAAAAATTACTATTTTAAACTGAAGGAAACAGCTATGCAGCTATGACATTGCAACAAAAACGTGGAACATCTCTGTCTCCCATGAAAATGGGTGCCTCAAAGTACTTTACATCAGTAATATAAAAACAAAATAATTAAACAATAAAGTTTGTAAAAACCAGTTTTACTCAATGTGTAGTTTACATAAATATAAGAAATTATTAAAACAATATATTCTTGTAAACCTATTTAAATGTAATTTTAATTATACTACTATCAACACATCATCATTTAATTATCCAGTACAGACAGAAAGTTACTACATTGTAGAAATTCCACTTATAAAAGAGCCGCTGAGTTGACATCTATTTCTTGATGATGCTTTGTTAGGAGGAAAAACATCTGTCATATAGTTGACAGCAGTATTTCCTTGAGTACAGAGAAGAGAAGGATTCTGAATGAAGTAGTGTTAGGTTAAGTAGTGGCAGCAATATTGGACTCTATTGCAGGAGGGCAAGAGGTTCACATCAAAGTGGGTATTAACACACCATTCATTAGGAACATTATCTTCATCTTAAGTATTTTAAATTCACTAGCAAAACTTAAACATATATCATTGAAATTAAGCTCTAATTAAAACGATTTAATTAAAGAACCAAAGCAAAATAGATATTTGTAATAATGGTAGTTATATAATTTGCAACATACTAACAGCAGGAGCTTACTCACCTCAATGAGAGTTTATTGTCTAAATTCCTCATGCCGATTATATACTAAAACTATAAGAATAAGGTGTAATCAATTCACTTTGAGATTTATTCTTCTTTAACTAATTGAATCTAAAGAAAACTTGCATATTCAACCAAATATATCCAAAAAAATAATTCAGAATTTGTTTCTATTAAATAAAAAAATTATAGAATAATTGATGGTATATCCATTAGGAGGAAAAGGAGCACAAAATGAAAAATAATGCCAACACTTTCCAAATGGCAAAAGTATGAGATATACTGTCCAAGTTTTGGAATGAATCACCTATAAAAAATTCGAACATACCCTTCACAAAATTGTTGTTCTAACCAGAAGAGGTTCACCCTAAACTGCCAGTTTTACAGTGCACCAATTACATTACAATATTTACAGCTTCTTACCATAGAATTGAATTGCTGTGGCGTGTACATTTGTTTGGCACAAGCTAAAATTGTTGATGTCTTTCCAGTACCTGGTGGTCCATAAAATAATAGATGTGGTAATTGATTCTCTTTCATGAACTGACTAACTGAAATGTTAAAGTTTAATTAAAATGTTGAATGCGAAAAAAATTAAATGTGAAGATTAATCTTAAATTAAAACTCACTTGTTTTGATTATATCATCATGAGACACCAAATCTTCTAACTTTGATGGTCTGTATTTCTCTACCCTGTTTAATGAACGAACTAAATTAATTATAATTAATGAATTACAATGGAGAAGACAATTTTTCGAGGTCTTGTACCAGTGTGCGATTCGTAGGAAGGTAGGGGCCCCTCACTAGATTGAGTAACAACCTGTTATAATATAGAAGTAGATGCAGGTGGCTCAGGACCATGTTCGATGGCATTGCTTGGTGGATGTTTACGTTCAGCAGTCAACAGAAAGGTTGTGATGATGAATTATTTATTATCATTAATAATAGGTTTAAAATTTCATTACCATCATCACTTACCAAGGTAAATTTTTATTTGTATCACCCACAGTCATTCTAAACAAGTAAATTTAATTTGAAAATCTAAGTTTGGACAAAACAAACAAAATGAAAAATGTTAATGTTGATGAATTCAAATACAAAATCAATCAACAAATAACAAATGTTAGTTGTCACTTGTCATTTGTCAATGTTAATTTTCGCGCCTAAAGACCGTTCTTCGACAATTTTTTTATTTAACTGGCTTTACGGCTAAGGGTTCTAGCCTTTCTGAGCCTATAATTTTTCACAGAATGTTCATTTTATGTATTTTGTCTCCACAATATGCTGATGCGTCACATTGCAAAGGTTTTGGGAGTTTTGATGACAGCTCAACCCAGCGGACTGTTGATGACGATAACCACTCAAGTTCATAAGGCGCACAAGCGATCAGATTAACTTGAAGTTTATATCAACATCAAAGCACTTGTTTCGTTGTTTTCTCTAATAATTAGCACGCGCAGACACTTGATTCACAAAATTGCATAACTTTTACGAATCAAAATCCACTTCAAATCATTATTCAAGCGACAAAACAGGAACGACAATCCGTCGACAACAATACAATATAATATACAATATAAATAATAAATCGTACAAAAGGTTGGAGGTTAGAGAACGGGAGAACGATTGCTGTATAAAATAGTGTCCCAGAAATATGGACAAAATAAGTGAGGCACTGCGATCGCTAAGTTGTGCGCTAGTTTGAAGTGATTGCGGTGAAACCTTACATCTTTGCCCACATATTTCGGTTTTTATTACTTTTTTTCAAAAAATAGCCACTTTAATTTGATGGTTGCTGAAGCTTTAAACGACACTCTATGCAACAAATAAACTGTCAAAACCAGGTGACATAATCCCTAACAGATGCTGAGAAAAAAACAAAAACAGACGCGGGCAAAGTTATCTCTACTTTCTTACATCTTTGCTCAACCTAAATTTCTCAGCAACTATAAGTTCTATGACTTTGATTTTAAGATATATTGTTAGCAAACCGGCAAAATGGTATACTATTACATTTTTAAAGAAATAGAAGTCCTTTTTTAGTTTTAATGGCGGTGGGCAATGTTATCACCACATTTAGTCACACTTTCATACTAAGAGATTTGAGATACTAGGGCTGTGCATCAGATGAAAGGAAAATAATAAACTGATTTTAATGCAATAATGTATATTTCATTTTAAAAATCAAAAACAAAAACTAACTGAACAACAAAAAAAAATCAAGAAAATCAATGTTTAGGTAGGAAAGTTCTAAAAAATTGTCTCAGAAATTAACTCTGATAGTTGAGATAAGGAAAAGTAGAGAGCGACGATATTTATTTATTATAATACGAGGCCAGCTTATACTGATTTTGCTACCAATGATGTGCGTGGTTCACCTACTGTGCGTGCCAATCCATTTTGTCGGCCATTTTTGTTTGCGATCGTTAATGTCTGTCGTTGAGGAGGCAATTCCTCTTTTTAGACTTTTTTGCAAACGAATTGCCGCATAAATCTTATTTAGAAACTTTAGCTTGAAACTGAGAACATTTAAGCTCTCTCTTTTGGGAAACTAGCGGTTTCTGACAAAAATTCCCCACAAATATATACCTATTTATTATATTTAAAATAATATATAAAACAGTATCTAGTTACCTATATAGTTATCAGAACAGTAGTTTAGTTTGCAGTTAACAGTGGTTATTGTTATACAGTTTTTTATATACCTTTATACATTTATTTATTTTATTAAGTATACCTATATATTAACATTTTATTACATATATATATAATTTTTATTTATTATATCTAGGTACATGTTTCCTTGTTTTTTTTTCAATAATGTCAACCCTAGTAACATTTTTAGCTGGGCAATGTTGTCGACCTCAGTTTATAAAATTACTTACAACAATACCCTCACAATTTTTTCGCCAACTAAGACAAGTGTAAGAAAGAGAGCTTGATTAAAAGCAGCAACAATTAATGCCCTACACGTAAATAATAATGAATCTTACCTGCGCAGCGTTTTTTGACAATGCGGGATGCAAAACTGCTACAATGTTTTTTGCACCACCTTCGACACTGTCCCTTTGACGGTTGCTGACAGATGCCTGAATATAGTTAGCTGCGATTGTAGTAGTCAGTGCTGTCAAACAGATACTTTAGTTTTCCCTAGACACCATACAAAGTTGACATTTGTTAAAGTAAAATGTCTATCGGTAGTTTTAGTTAATTTTCGTGTTTAGGCAAAGATGTCCCCCAAGGGCAAAGTTGTAAGGTTTCACGGTACATCTTTCGAAGAAAAAAAAGAAAATAACGAAATCATTATTTATTATTATTATTATTTACTAATAAATAAATTATAAATTATGTTTTTATAATTTTAATTATTATAAATATTATAAATTATTACAAATATAAATTATTAATTAATATTAATTTTATAATATTTCACCATTATAATATTATAATATTTATCTTATAATATTTCACCATTTTTTAATGTTTCTTTCTGTCAAAAATTAAAAAATTACTTTGTAGACGCTACTTACCGACGGCAGCGCGGCTATCAATTCCACAAACTATCAGGGAAAGGAGACTATGCTTTAGCACGTAGCGATCATCTCCTGTTTTCTAACCTCCGTGGCAGCGAGTTTAGTTACAGGGCATTTGACAGTAAATGGTCAAATGGGCAGGAGCGTTCAAACCGGTTCAAACGATGTCTTCGTGGCGAGTTTAGATAAGGACATTAGTTCATAGAGTTTGTTTGAGTGTGGCGTTTCTAGACTACACAGTTTTTCTTGTTTTCGTTTAAGATGGATCTAGGATTACGTCAAGAATTAAATGATACAGTCAGAGAAATATTATTGGTTGTTGTTAAAGAAGTTTTTAATAATTTTCATGAGTGCAGCATCTAGAGCAGTTTTAATTTTATAATTTAAACTTCTACTATTATAATATAAACATTCGCGTTCTAAATATTCCTGTACGAATTCATACGTGATATCTTCCGTCCATTTCATTATTTTATTATAACATTATTATAACTCAATACAACACGATATCATACAAACTTTGTGGCGAATTTAATTCTAAAAATTACTATTATACGTTTTGGCGCGCAAACGTTGCGTCCTGTCAACTTATGCACTGAACTAAACACGCTCGTTCATACGAGTGGCGAGTTTAGTCGCCGGTGGCGGAAGACGTGCGGGAGGGCAATACTTCGCTCTTAACTCGCCGAAAAATAGCCCGTAATGTACTTATCGAGGTGTAAATCGGTCTTTAAGTAATGCTGTTACGATTGGCCAATAAAGCAAGCAAAGACTATATAGGTTAGTTTGAATTCTATTTTGTTCACAAAACTTTTCACCGATGTGTTTGTTATACTACGAATTTCTTGGGCTGTTTTTATAACAGTTGGAACCAACGGACAATAGATGGCTATAATATCTCAAAGCTCCTATGCGGATGAAAACAACCTGAGATTTATTCATAGATAGAAAAAGACTTTTTTCATCAAACATTAAATTATTATTATTAAATTCTGCTCAAACCTTAGAGCATCCATCTCTTCACCATTTGCCACGGCTACAGAAAAGCTTTCACACACAGCTTCTGCCGTCGGGACGCGGTAGTCCCGAATGAACTCCAAACTGAAGAAATGCTGAAGAGAGTGGAACTCTTTTTAAAATATGGGGTGCGCAGAAGCACCGTAAACGCTACCTCGATTATGGAGGTTGGAGGAAGGCTTGATATACTATCCTGGTATCAGTGGCGAAGCTACAGCTCCAAACTAGGGCAAGGCAAAGACATAAATTGATAAAAATATAGATTGTTGTTTTTAGCAGTTTTATAAAAATACACCAATCTTGATCTGTCTCCACGCTTCAGTTTCATATTCAGTACTGTCAAGGACGTTTTTATGTGAAATCGAAATGGTGGACTCTTTGCGATCGGATTACGAAAATATATTACACAAAATTAATAGTTTAGAATTACAAATCAACCCTAAGTATACAGTGAACTATCAACCACTTCTATCATTTTAAAAAATGTTGTGTTGCATAAAAAGGACTGCAAAGCTCTTACAGACTCCAGCCCAAAGCGAAGCAAAACCAGAAATCTAGGTACGCCCACATGAATCACTTAGATTGCCCCCCTTAGATATTCCGGTATTCAGTGGAGATATTAAAACTTGGACGTTGTTTATTAATAGATTTCAAAACACCGTACATAATAATCCATCGTTATCGGACGCTGAAAGATTGTATTATTTAATTAGTAAATTGAGTGGTAGGGCACAGTCCATTTGTTCGGGTTTCACACCAACAGCAAACAATTATTCGTTAATATTAAGCTATATCATCCGCGACATCACTGGCTTAGAGCAGTTTTTAGATAAATTTGTAGCATCGGTGGCTGCGCTCAAGAACCTGAAATTTAATGACCTTATAGACGTGGTGTTTCTCCATATCGCCTTAAAGAAACTAGACTCGGACACCGTGCGTGCGTTTGAAATGGAGCATCGTTGTTCTGAGTTACCGTCATTCAACTCCTTAGCTTCCTTTGTACGAGATCAAATTAAAGTGAGACAGCGTTCCTCGAATGTCAAACAAGAAGTTAAGAAATGTGTCGATCGCAGACAGATTCAACAACTAGGACCGCTGGGTCTCTGACGTACGTAACCGCTGCGCCTACATCGCCTCATAGCGCCTGTGTTCTATGTAAGAATAAACAACACGGTAATTTGTATAATTGTGCGACCTTCCGTAAACATTCACCCAGCGAACTTTATAGAATAGTAAAGACGAACAACTTATGTTTAAATTGCCTAAGCGATAGACATTTTGTTGCTAAATGCAATTCTAGTTCCGTGTGAAACAAGTGCGCCAGTAGACATCACACGTAATTACATTTCGAAAGCGGCAACATATTCGCGTCGAGTAAATCGGACAAGGAAACTACACATACTAAAGTCGACGATTCTAACGGTCGACCGGGTGACGTCGCCCTGTGCTCACTGTCGAATACG